TGGTGTCAAACGATTTTTTTTTTACATACAAGGCCAACGGCCCAATCCCAAAACGTTTTCAAAAGTAAAAGCTGAAAATATGACACAGCCAATTCCTCTTTGTGTCAATACAATAAATCGATTCCAGACACTTGTCGTACTTAGGAACCTATAGTTCGAAACACCCGAGAATGACTACACAATAGTTGACACGCTCAGAAAGACACGTGCCGATCGGCAAGAGTAGTAATCCAACCTCGGCAAAAATTAAATACAAGAATAGTTCAAGCCATTATACTCTGGAGGTTAGAAGAATATGACTACACATAGGCTAAGACAAATGGCATAATGATATTGGTCAAGACCAACTTGCAAATGACATAATGTTATTGGTCAAGACCAACTTGAGTACTAAGGTACGCTCCCCAATAAAAACGGGCTAATGTATCTCAAAATCTCATTCTCTTTCCATTGACTAAACTCTTGATTTAGAGCAAGTGCTAAATTAGGCATCGGAGGCCCGACGTTGGGTTCATTTTTGCAATCCATTCATATAAACATGTCATTTTAGGATTAGATTTTTATTTTCATTTACTTTTTACTTTATACTATTTTTAAATTATATACATATAAATACTCTCAAAGTATGGCTAATTAATTTTACCTATTGTTAATATATATTCTCTGAGAATATTAATTTATGCACATTCATGAAATTACATATCATGAATATATTTTGGTACTTCAAAATGGTCAATAAAAAAATCTTACTATTGAATATAAATTATAAATAATGTCAAGAATGAATACAATACATGTAATCTCTTATATATAATGTAAAGAATCAATACAATACATGTAATCTCTTTTGACGATCCTAAATTTTGACTGGGTGGATAAGAAATATTTATTTCTATTATTTCAATATGTTGTTAATCTTGGATTCATATAAAAAAAATAAATAAAAATTTTGTAGTTAATATTGCAATATCTACACCATAGCAACAGTTAGTGATGGAGACATCAAACAGATAGCATGTTCCAGCAGTAAAACACAGATGAGAGGCACTCCAAGACTTGGGCAGTCCATA